TATTAGTCCCATTATGAAGTCCCCCCATGCAGGATCTAAACCCTAATGTCTCCCAGAGGCCCACCTCCAAATGCTCCACATCACATTACGACTTCAACATGTTAATTTTAGGGAGACACAGACAGTCGGTCCACAGCTGCTGCTAAGGGCAGGGACCTCAAGGACATCCTTTCATTCATCATAGGGCAGAAAGTTCCTGCCAGGGCAATAACAAGAAAATAAAATAAAAAGCCTGTGGGTCTGAAAGGAAGAATAAAACTATGTCTATTTGCAGATGAGATGATTGAATGTGCAGAAAAAGAAGACATTTTTTTAAACTACCAGAACTAATAAATGAATGCACCAAGTTGGCAGGATATAAGACAAAGATACAAAACTCAATTGCTTTTCTACCACTAGCAATGGGCATGTGGACACTGAAATCTAAAACACAATACCACTTACACTCAGAAAAAAAATGAGTGTAAATTAGATTGCACGGGCTTTATCTGCTGAAGGGTACACAATCCTGACACAATAAAGAAAGATCTAGTAACGATGCCCATTCTCCCAAAATTGACATACAGGTTCAATGAAATTATTGTCAAATTCCTAGCAAGATTTTCAGAGACATCGATAAAATTATTCTAAGATTCATGTGGAAAAGCAAAAAATTATTTACTAAAATAATTTGAAAAAGAACAAAATGGGAGGAGTCAACTTATCAAATTTGAAGAGTTATTAATCTGGTTATCCAGATTGGGTGATATTAGCAGAGACATGGGCACACAGATCCAGGGAGTGGCTTAGAGAGCCCAGAACCAAGTCCACACAAATCTGCCAGCCAATTTTTGACAAAGGCACAAAAGCAATTCAATTCAGGACAGATGGCCTTCTCAAGAAATTGTGTGATTTCACAACCCCAGGCAAAAGAGGGAACAGAGGGAGGGGGAGCGGAGGGGGGAGGAAAGGAAAGGAAAGGACTTGAATCTAAGTCTCCCACCTTGTAAAGGTCTTGTGAAGACTGGGCCTCATGCAAAACATGAGGCTTATGATTTTAATAAGAACACAGGAAAACACCACCAGAATCTACAGTTGGTAAAGAGCTTTTATTTGGCACCAAACACACAATTCACAAAGTTAAAAAGTTGAAAAATCAGATTTGAACAAAATTTTTAAAAATTGCTCAGCAAAAGACTCTGTGAAGAGGACGAAAAGACACAGATGGGGGTGAGATGCTTGCAGGTGACCACCTGGCCAAGGGCGGGGATCAGACAGAGGTGAGGTACTTGCAGGTGACACACCTGGCCAAGGGCGTGTCTAGGATATATAAAGTACTTGAATTCAACAATAGAAAAAATGAAGAGCCAGTTAGGAAATGGACAACAGATTTGAAGAGACATTTCCCCCAAAGACTATTCAGACAGCAGATTAGCACAGGAAAAAGTGCTCAGCATTATCAGCCATTAGGGAAATTAAATGTCATGGACATCCGTCAGGACGACAAGGGCCAGGAAGAGTGGCTCGCCTGGTGCTGGAGACTCGGTCATTCACGCCGGGCGGGGCCGGTGGGAGGCAGCACAGCCACTGGGGAAGCGCAGCATGCTCAGCCACGCCCCCAGCAGGGCCCTCCTGACGCTTCTTCCAGAGAGAGCAGAATCTGTGTTCACCAGAGCACCGTGCACAGGGGTGGACAGCAGCTCTGTTCCTGGAGCTGATGCATGCACACCATGGGGGGCTACTCAGCAATGAGGAGAAGACACTTCCTACGGGCACAAATCCACTGGCTCTCTAGGGAATAGCACTGTGTGATTCCATCTACAGAACATTGCTGAGTGACACAGTACAGACAGGAACAGAGCCAGGAGGGAGCGGCGTGGCCGCTGGGGGGCAGCAGGGGGCGCTTGAGTAGACATGTTCTTCCAGCGTCCATCCCCAGTGTCCATCCGTAACCCTAACTCGGTGCTGAAGCTGCACCGTGTGTGGGGGAGGTCACCGCAGGCCAGCTGGGGAGGTCGGCAGGATGCCTCTGTACCACTTCTTACAAGTGCATGCGAGTCTACGACTTCTTTAAGACAAAACTTGGATTTTTCAAACAGCGGAAGGATCCTAAAAGACGCAGATCCACCCTGTCACAGACTGGAGGACACAACTGAATGCGACGGAGACTCTGTATCAAGCTGTGCAGGGCAGACAGCGCCTGTTCGCAGAGAATCCTGTGTAACTTCGTTAATGTGGCTTCTGCGGTCCTCCCCTGGGGTGGGATGTTAATCCTGGGGCCAGTAGGATAAAGGGTACGGAGTTCTGTTCTGTGTTTGCAGTTCTTCTCTGAGTCTTTAAATCATCTCAAAATAAAGTGTTTTCTTTTGTTTCTCACATGGGCAAGATATTTGAACAGGAGCTTCACCAGGTGAGATGCAAATGACAAGCAGTTGAAGGAAGCTCAGAACCCTGAGGAATGCACATCAAAACCACCGAGAGGCCACCAGAAGCTATTGGAATAGCTGGAAGTTCACAGTGTCATCACCCTATGTAAGGAGACGGGTTTTTCTAGCTCTCTTGATGATGCTCCTCAGAGGGACCAGTGTGGATTCTGAAAAGCCACCCCGCACCTCAGGGGAGAGGGGCCCCCGGCGCTCACAGCCCCACAAGGAGAAGGCCAGCCGGCAGCTTTCGTGGGCCTCAGTGCTCTGGATCCAGAGGACTGAACCCAATGCAGAAGCCCACTCCTAGCAGGTCTGTGCTGGCGCTCGGGAGGATGGACACAGCACCCATGCCCCAGGATGGCCGCTTGGTGGAGCCCAAGGCCTCTTATTCCATCAAAGTGCCCTGGGAAAATTTGGTTGGAATTTTACAGAAATACTGGTGGGCGTTTCATCGGCTGCTGTCATCTGTCGTGGTGGCCAGGAGAGCTGTGGCTGGCGGGGGCCCGAGTCCACCTGCAGGACCACGGGCACTTTCACAGCCCACCTGCAGCACATGTGGCCACCTGCTCTCCTCCGCAGAGAGCTAGCAACTAAAACCAGATGTACAACAGTGAGGACTCTACAAGCTCATGCTTCCTCTGCTGGCCTCAGGCTGATGCTGTCCCCGGGTGTCCAGGGGCAGCTCTGCCAGCCTTGCTCACACCTTGGGGGATGCTGTTGAGGACATCCCTGGACTTCCAGGTGCCTGTGGCCGTTTCCACAGCCTTCCAAGCATCTTTAGCTCCCTCCTGTGCAGAGGCGGATGAGTGCACGCGGGATACAAGTCCTTGACGGGGGACGGTGAAGACGGTGTCCCTGAGGGTCCCTTTGTCTTCTCAGACCCTTGCCAAGCTGAAGAACCGTGGGAGCAGAGCTGGGCCAGAAAGCCCAGGTCCTTCTGATCTGGACCGACCCAGGCTTCCTCCACCGAGCCAGGACCCTGCTCCTCGGGGTGCTGGTCACACCGTGAGCTGCGTAGGCAGCCTGACACACAGAACGCCTCTCAGCGGCGCTGGGGCGGGACTGAAGGCACCGTGGAGAGGACACGTGTCACTTGTCCAGCTGGCCGCCACTGGGCAGAACACCGGGAGGGAGCGGAGCTGCTGCTTGGCAAGCACAGAGGGACACAGGGGCTGTCGGCCTGTGGCCCTGGACTGTCCCCGGAAGCACGCCACGGCAACCCTAGGCCCTGTGTTGGGGCCCCGCATCCTGTTCCTCTCCTGGCAACCTACCCTCTGCCCCGGCACAACCTGGCTGCAGACGTGACAGTACACACTCACACAAACGGAACTATGTGCACGCTCGGGCACACTCACGCTCACTCTCACATGTGTGCACACTCGTGGCGAGATCCAGCAGCGGCTGCAGCTGGCCTCCCCACCCCACAGGGACAGGAAGCCCAAGGGCCAGCAGCGAGAGCCAGAAGGAGTCCCCAGGGGGCTCATGGCACAGCAAGCCATTGCACCCCGTCCCCGCTGCCCCCAGCCTCCCCTGGCCTGTCCATCATCTGGGAGTATGATCCCATGACCAGCAGACCATCCTCCAGCTGGCCCATGAGCAGCCACGTGCTTCTCCCGCTGGCGGTCTGCACCTTTGATGACTCCGAGTTCTCGGCCAGCGTAATCCTTTTAGTCTCGCCAGCTGAGCAGCTCGGCCTCCTTACGTTGGTAAGGAGCTGGGCCAAGCCGGATACGTGGCCTCTGCTGCGCAGGGCTTTCATGGGCTCCCGTGACCACAGAGGGCAGGGCTCAGAGGACCTACCCTTGAAGCGTGTCCTCTCCCTGGCTCAGCCCAACCTGGGTCAGCTCCTGGCCTCTCCCAGCCCCTCGCAGGTCTCATGGAGCCTGGAGTCCTGGCATTGGGAGTGGGCACCAGCATGAGGCCAGCACCAGGGCCAGCCACATAGACTAGCCAGCCCAAAGCAGGGCAAGGCCAGCCTCAGCTGTCCCATGTCCAGCTGCTGTGCCCCAGAGTGCCCCAGAGGCCCAGGTTGCCCCGGAGCCCACCTCCACACAGAGACCCATAAAGCAATGCAGTCACTCGGGGTGGGGGTTGGGACTGAGGGCCCGAGGCCCCCCGGGAAGCTCTACAGTCCTCAACTAGTGGGTCCCAGCCCCCAGGGGAAGCGGGGCCTCTCCAGAAGAGGGGTGCAACCCCTACTCCTACCAACGGCCTGTGGTGCTGAGGCTGCAGGGCCCTCAGCCCTGTGAGCCACTGGAGCCCCGGATGTGCCCAGGCCACCACAAAGGCCTCTCAGTCCAGGAGCCAAGTGGCACTGGAGGCCTGGCCCAGAGCCCCCGTCAAGACCTTTTCAGAGGAAGCAGCTCATGGCCCCAGAGCTGGCAGCGACCCTCTCCAAACTCCCTGTTGTGCAAACACGCTGGTTCCGGGGGATGGTGCAAGGACGGAGACGGGGCGAGGCAGAAGGAGGGCTGTTCCCTCTGGCCCTGGCCCTGGCCCTGGCCCTGGCTCTGGAGCAGGATATATGCAACAGAGCAGGGCTGTCCACACTGCATCCAGCAAGCTGCATCCCGAACCGAACAGCCACACAGGGCCATGACGCTGCTGCTGCTCAGCCTCTGGCTGGGCCTGGCCTGGGCCCAGCAGGACCAAAGCCTGGTGCCTGTGCAACCCGGCTTCCACCCTGAACAGGTGCTCTTGGGGGCCGGAGGGAGGGGTGGAGGGCACCCCCATCCCTGAGGCTGCTCCTGGGCCCCTTGTACCCCAATACCCCCAGTGTGCACCCCAATGACCACAGCCCCTTGCACACCCTGACACTCCTCAGCACAGCCAGTGATCAGCCCGTGTCACAGGAAGACACCAAGCTCCATTCCCCCACAGCTGGGAGGCAGCAGACCAGTGGGTCTGAGCCAGCCTCAGCATTGAGAACCCACAGGGACAGTAGTGTCCTTCCAGAGGCCAGGAGCTCTGGAACAGTGACCCCTCACTCTTCTGGGTTCCGTCAGGATGTGTGGCCACCTGGGAGCCCATCACAGGTCCAGCCCCCAGGAGGGCTGCAAGCCTGGGGCCTGAACAAGAGGGACGGGACCCTTAGGCCAGAGCTCCCCCCTTGTGTCCCATTGCACGGCCCCACGGCCTCTGTGTGAGAGGACTCCCCACTCTGCCAGGGGCTGGGGTGCAGGCACCAGGCCTACCCGTCAGCATCGCCATGGCCAACACTACACTGGCCAGCCTGGCTGGGTTGGGGGCAGAGTCGCAGCCCTCAAGCCCTATCAGCATGAGGTCTGAGATAAGGTGGGTCTGCACCCTGCACCCCTCCGGGGAAACCCTGCCCCTGCCCACTGCTGCAACCAGGCGCCAGGGAAGAAGGCTCCCCAGGACCACCAGGGTGAGGACAGGGCCTTGCTGCCTGCAGGTGGAGGGGCCCTGGCACACCATCAAGCTCGGCGCCACCGACCCGTCTGTTATTGAGGAAGGAGGCTCCTACCTGTGTTCCATGTCTGGCATCAAACTCCTGGAGGACGGAGACCTGAACATCACCTACTTCCACAGGCGAGGGGCTGGGGCTGGGGCTGGGGCTGCGTCCTTGGCATGACCCCGTCTCCCATCCTGGCTGCGCCCGGCCACATCCCAACCCCTCTCCCCAGGGCTTCCCAGCTGCTCACAGCTCAACCTCCCGCCCCCGACACCCCTCCCAGGAGGACCCCCAAACACTGCTGGGTCCTCTGGGCCACTCTCCTGGAGGGGATATGGTGTCCATAGCTCTATCTGGGAAAACCCAGGCCAGCAACTGGCTCCTGCTCCAGGTGCCCTGGGGGGACCCGGGTCCAGCAGGCAGGTCTCAGG